GGACTAGCGAATGCACACAGCTTACCCCATTTTACGTCTAGGTAGGTCTAGGTAGGGTATCTGACCAAGAGTGGTGATGAAAGTCGCTCTCACCTTCTGTGTTGCGGAACCGACACATTCAATTTCACGCGCAGTTTTCAGGGTGCTGTCTACCAGCCTGTTTTGCTAAACTTACGATCTCGCGCGCGACATTTGGTCGTTGTGAGACTGCCGCGCGTCTCATTCGCGTTAAGTCGCACGCGATAAGCGGCGAGTTCACGCGGCGTGCAGGACATCTGCGGTCGCAACCGTGTGGGGGTTTTCATCCAAACAGGTCTTGAAAGTGATATTACAGCAGCTTCGAGGCACACCGACAACTTTGGCCAAGGTTCACGAACTCTTCAACGATGAGCAGGTAACAACTTGTTGCTACTATGAAGTTCTTTGGATTGAATGAAGTGATGGCGTCACGTGCTCCGAAGGTGGTGGGAGCAATGACCGGACACCATCTCGGTGTGAGGGCGCAGACAGGCAGAAATGACGTAGCTTTGTGCACGTCGGAGACTGAGTCATATCATATCTGCTCGTCTGCGCCCTCTCACCAAGATGCCTCCCCTTCCCTGAAGCGCATTGCACTTAACCTGATATTCTGCAGCATGCAGTGGTTGTAGTCGAAGGATCGAAAAGGGAATGGTTCATACCAATACTTTCCATTGTTGATAAGGTAAGGCATAGGAAGTTTCAAGCGCTGTTCGGCTTGGGAGGGCAATCTGCAGTTTCGCAACTTACTTTTCCCAACGAACAGGTCTCATTTTGGGGAACCTATAAAGTCGTACGGAGCTGTCAAATGGTACAAGTGAGCCCTTTTGGTTACAAGAATGTACATGTTCTCAGTTGCCTGTACAAGCTTCCCTGTACACCATTCCATGCCCTCACCAAGCCGATCTGCGCCAAATTTTTAATTTAGCTCTGATAGTTAAATCTAATCTAAATATTTGAGGATCTCCTACATCTCAACGCTCTCGTTATGGTGAAAGCTAGTGGAATGTTCAAGAACGTGCCGACAGCAATTGTTGGCGTACTGCCAGACAGTACGGACTCATGCGCTCTGGGGCACAAACTCGAAAAACCGCCAAAGGAGACATTTGAGGTGCGGCTCCAACTGTTCTACAGAAATCCTGCGCAACGTGGCACTGCTCGTTTTCGCATAGCTTTGGACAGTGAAATGGTCTGCGCGCCGTATTGATTTGACGCGCATTTAATCGATAATGCGCTAATGGTTGGAAAGATGGTTTTTCAGCGTCGTATTGGTGATCCACTTATGTTCAGGACATTGGCGGTCTGGAGGGTCCGATACAGGAGATGAAAGAATCGGTCGAACTACCACTGACACATCCGGAGTACTATGAAGAAATGGGAATTACCGCTCCCAAGGGGGTGATTCTCTATGGAGAACCGGGTACCGGTAAGTTAAGCTGACCCTTCGCTTGGAGAAGAGGGGTAAAGGCACATGAACGTCGAGCAGAATCCTCCCACTTCAGGGAAGACACTACTGGCCAAAGCTGTCGCAAACTCAACCTCTGCTACGTTCATACGTGCAACCGGCGCTGACCTTGTACAGAAGAATTCCGGTGACGGTGCAAAATTAGTGAGGTGGGTTGTTGAACAAAGGCAGCAGGGGAAGGCCACTCGGCGGCGCGACTATGCTACGGCACGTCTGCTTGTCTGCGCTCTCTTACCGAAAGGCAGAGTAGCGTAAATATCCATTCCAAGGCCTCGAAAAAAAAGTGGAAAGACAAGCCAAGACAGGGCGATGCAGCTGTCGCGTCCGCTTTTCCCCCAACTACTCACGCTCCGGCCGTGGATCTCATTGGGAAGCGAAGAAGATCCGTTTCAGGGAATTGTTCAAAATGGCAAAAGAAAGCGCTCCGTGTATCGTGTTCTTGGACGAGATCGATGCTGTTGGGACTAAGCGATTTGACACCTCCAGCAGAGGTGAACAAGAGGTAAGAAAAGCTCTCTCATTTCACGGATCTAGGCAGTGCTCTCCCATAAGAACTGAAATTCGCGTAATATTCAGCGAGCTGGGACCATACTGCTGCGATTCATACGCAGGGTTAGGTCACGGCGCGGCATATGTCGCGCGACCATTGGCGCGACGTCGCTTTGTGCCCCAGCGCTGAAAACTCGATTCAAAGTTCAAACTATAGACTGGAACAATGAGCCACAGTGAGAAGTGGTAGATTGGTTGCCTTCAAGCCCTTTTTGCACCCATATCGAATTCTAGTGAAGCGCCACTAATCGATAATTGATCGCAATATTTACTGTCGTTTAGGTACAACGCACTCTCCTAGAACTCCTAAATCAGCTGGACGGTTTCGAGAGTAGAGGAGATGTAAAGGTAAGCATCTGAATGTCTAATCCATTGCAATCGATCATCGATCGATTGTCATTTACAGGTTATTCTGGCGACGAATCGTA